TATATACTGTATATACCAATCAAATATGGAAAAATTGGGTGTGCTATATGATGCATTGATTAATGTGCCAGTCTTATTGTTGTCCAATAAAATGTCTGATGTGCAGTGTAGCATTAGGATGGTACAAAGGCAGGACAGTGCAGAACACCTCTGATCTTCCTCTCATCTCTGTCTGATAATGAAGGAGGTCTGGCTCTTGCTGTCACAATGATGGATGGCAGTGTGTTGTATTAGGGAGTGGATGGGGCCTGGCAAACCCAGAGGAATATGGCTGGGGACGGGCACACTCAACCATGCTCATGTTCCCAGTGGAAAGAAGGGAAGATGCCCTTCATCACAAGCAGGTACAGCTGTCTGTGCGCAGATACAGCGGGTGATGCTGAGGACATGGCTTGTCCAGTGTCTGACTCGCTTGAGCTTGTATGTCAATGCATGAAATGCATGGCTGAGCCGAGATCTGGAGCGATAGATTTCTTGTCAAAATGTAAATAGTTGCATGAGGACCTCTGGCCATTTGTATGATAATGCAGTGGGAAGTCACATGATTACTGAATTATAGCTCATCAAAGAGCCGATCTCTGAGCTCCAGGCCAGTTCTGATAATACTCAGATCTCATAACACACACACACAGATCAATGGCTCAGTCAAAATGGGTGAGTGTGGAAATTAATGGAGAGATGAAACAAAGTTGTGTGTCTTATAATACTCAGTAAAGCAGTAGCTAAAATAAAAATAAAATAAAATATGTATTTCAGATCAAATGTATTTTATGTCATTAAAGACTGCCTAAAGATTTTTTCTCCAGAATATTGTAGTTACTGACCAAGGAAAACAACCCCTTGGTCTAAACACTAGAGAAAAAACAGGAAAACAAAGCCAAAACCAATTTTAGGCCATTTAGAAATCCCAGCCAGGACATGGCTGGGAAAAAGAGGACATAGGGTCACCCAACCAAACGATGGTAGAGTTTTTGGGGAATTATTTGAAAACTATTTTGAAATAAATTGGTTTTGCAGTTCCTTTTGGTGCCAGTAGAGCAGAAATGGTTTTGTTGAACATGTGATGCAAGGATATTGTAATACATGTTAAGTGACTGACTGTTTCCCCTTCTCTCTCATGAGCGGCAGCAAATCCAGCACTTCTGACCTGCATCATCATCACATGCTCATTGGCTGCTCATTAGCATCAGTGAGAGCGTGTCTGTTTGCAGAGTCTCACTTCATCAAGCACATGGATCCATTAACACTCAAACACACACAGCAGGCCCAGTGTCACACATCACACCAATGGCTCATAAAGTCAACTTGCATTAATATGATGTAGGCTTTTCCCTTCCCCCTTTACATTTCCATCCCGTAGCTCCTGTCCACGTTACAATGTTTTGATTATGTTTATGACCATGAATAAAACAACTTCCTTAGCTCTTAAAATGAAAAGTGCTGGTTCAGTTAAAATGCAGAGCAATTCAATGAGCAATGTAAATGATCCTATTCTTAAATCGGTATCTTTGTCTTGCTTTCCTTGTTGTCCTGTTTGGACTCTCATTGTGACGGCACCCATTCATTGCAGAGGATCCACTGGTGGTGAGCAAATGATGTAATGCTAAATTTCTCCTAATCTGTTCCAGTGAAGAAACAAACTGGCCTGAGGGTGAGTAAATTGTCAGCAAATTAATTTTTAGGTGAACTATTCTTTTAAAATTCAATTATGTATTATGTCATGTAGGCTTGACAAATGAAGACTAGCTTGACCATGCAAAAACCTGCTGCAGATTGATTATAACTGCATATGTAAAGATGCTTATTGAGGAGGTAAATATTTCAGTCGCCTGCCTGAAATGAACACATATATGAACATGTGAACAAACAAACAAGACATAATTGTGTTAGTGCTTCTCTCTTGATAAATGACGAGTCTCCTCTCTTATAATTTCACTCAAACTTTCCTGTCCCATCCCAGAACTGCTAGGCTACATCTTTTAGTCAATACACACAATCTCTGCCTGTCTGCCTGCACCAAATTTTAGTACATTCCCCTGGTGTTAATGCCACAGAGAGAATATGGATTGTTTCTTACGCTGTGCTGATGTGGACTGTGAAACATCCGGCTTAGATATGACAGGAAATATATTTTCTTTCACACAAACAACAGGTTTACAGATGTGTTACGAGAGATTCCTATGTGTGATGTATCATAGCCCGTAATATATGAGGCACAAATCCCGCCAGCAGATCATGAAAAACATGCAATGTTTTTCTGTTAAAGAATTTTAGTATGTACATGTTAATCTCTACATTCTACATTTACGTTTTTAACATTTCAAGTTGTATAAATTAACCTTAATTAATGTATTATGAACAGACAAGAATGAATGGAAAAACTGCATATTTGTTATTATTATTATTATTATTATTATTAATAAACAATACATTTATTGAACTGTTATTTAAAAATTAACCCAGATTCATAAATAATGTGAAAATATTTTGCTTATTGTTAATTCATGACACCTAATGGATGTGAAACCTTATTGTAAAGTGTGCATTGTTGTTGTAAAGTTTTCTTATCCCAGGAGGTTTAGTGGCTTAAAAAAGTGACCTGATTTATTTTCAGTGTCTGGTAAACAGAGGTGTAACAACGACCCGGCACAGGCAGTCTGAAATCTGGAAAAGCACACTAGAGGTGTGTCTTCTATTTTTAGAAAAGCATTCGAGCCATGCATCCTGTCTTTCCATCCGAGTCTCGGGGCTCTGAAAGCTCACCTAATGATGTCGATGTGTCCGTTCTTGGCAGCGAGATGCAGCGGGCTGGTGCCCACTGCATATTTGTTATTATTATTATTATTATTATTAATAAACAATACATTTATTGAACTGTTATTTAAAAATTAACCCAGATTCATAAATAATGTGAAAATATTTTGCTTATTGTTAATTCATGACACCTAATGGATGTGAAACCTTATTGTAAAGTGTGCAATGTTGTTGTAAAGTTTTCTTATCCCAGGAGGTTTAGTGGCTTAAAAAAGTGACCTGATTTATTTTCAGTGTCTGGTAAACAGAGGTGTAACAACGACCCGGCACAGGCAGTCTGAAATCTGGAAAAGCACACTAGAGGTGTGTCTTCTATTTTTAGAAAAGCATTCGAGCCATGCATCCTGTCTTTCCATCCGAGTCTCGGGGCTCTGAAAGCTCACCTAATGATGTCGATGTGTCCGTTCTTGGCAGCGAGATGCAGCGGGCTGGTGCCGTTGGGATCAGTCGAATCTCCGGGCTTGGGCTCCAATAGAGCTGCACACATGTTACTGCTCAGTAGCAGCTGGACCACCTGCAGGGCAAACAGATGATCATACACACACACACACACAAAAGCCAAATAGAGACAGGAAAAAGATGTAAAAGTAATTTGACAGTGACCAAAAAAGCAGTGTGTGACTCACCCCAACCCGGCCGAATTCACAAGCCAGGTCCAGTGGGGTCCTCCCACCATTGTCCACTATGCAGGGGTTCGACTGATGCTGCAGAAGCATCTCAGACTGTGAACAGGTAATATAATATAATAATATAAAAATATCACAACGTTTTATCGTTACATGCATTTATTTATTTATTATTTTTCTTATTTATTTTATACAATATAGTATAATTTTTTAATAGACAGTCTGTAAACAGCCCCACAGTGCCACACAAAACAATGATATATTTACATTCCATGTTTAAACATTTAAACAAAAACCAAAGTCTTTAAGAGAGAGAATAATAGCCACAGTATCTACTAAAACAGCCTCTTCACTAAGAGGTAGAAACTCTGACAGAGAAGAAGAAAACTGTCTGTCTTCTTCCTTTCATTAAATGCATGTGTGTGGGATGCTCTAGCATCAAAGCATTTACTCGTCCGGTTCAGGTTCCAAGATGTCAGTATCCATAACCACATGTCAAATCTTTTTTCATACACAGAGGCTCATATGGAGTCTTTGAACAACAGTGGGCATGGTGTTGTAGCAGTGTGTACTCACTACGTCATAGTGTCCGTGTTGAGCAGCCAGGTGCAGGGGGATCTGACCCTCGTTAGATTGACCGTTCACTGAGGAGCCTGACTTCAGTAGCAACTTCATGGGCTCTGACTTTCCCTGCCACGCTGCATAATGCAGAGGCCGCATCCCTGGAACATGAAAAGAAAGACTTTTAATATTACTGCACTGCAAAATATACACATTAGAGTTGTGTTCAGTAAGCTTGTTTCAGGTTGTTTGGACGTGACATCCAAAGCAATACTGTACTTTTTTTATCTGTGTGCCAAAACAGGTCAAATACTTCATTTAAAGATGCCAATGTGAAGTTAAAAAAATTACACTGATGTCTTTCTGGTACCTTTCTGGTCCCTGATGTCCACTATGGCCTGAGACTCCAGCAGCAGTGATATAACCTCCACATTTCCATTGAGAGCTGCATGGTGCAGTGGTGAAAATCTGTGAATAACACATAAAAATGACATAAACAGGACGTCAGAATTTAATTAAGAACGCCAATTCCTTTACTGAATTTGAATTGAGGTAACAAACAGGATGCAGAACTGTAATTTGAATGCAATTCAAAAATTAAAATTCCATTTTAATTCCATTGGAATGGAATGAATAAAAAAATCATCAAACTGTTGTAAATGGAGCTTTTAGTCTTATTTTTCAGTATGAATCAGTATAAGGTTATCAAACAACAAGTGTGTGTGTGTGTCTACCTGGTATTCCCTACATTATGAGGACCAAATGTTCCCACAAGTATAGTAATACCAGTAAATTTTGAACTTTTTTGTTTTCCACGAGGAAACAAGCTTATAAATCACATATAATGAAGTGTTTTGAAAATCTAAAATAGCAGGTTTCTGTGAGGGGTAGATTTAGGAGTAGGGTTAGGGTAAGGGGATAGAAAATACAGTTATACAGTATAAAAACTGTTACGTCTATGGAATGTCACCACAAAAAATGGAAACCAGTATGTGTGTGTGTGTGTATTAACTGTAATATACAATATATACATATAAAAAAATACAGATAGGCGTGCACACACACACACGTGTATATATATATATATATATATATACACGTGTGTGTGTGTGTGTGCGCGCCTCTCTGTATTTTTTTCAAACAGATGATCATACACACACACACACACAAAAGCCAAATAGAGACAGGAAAAAGATGTAAAAGTAATTTGACAGTGACCAAAAAAGCAGTGTGTGACTCACCCCAACCCGGCCGAATTCACAAGCCAGGTCCAGTGGGGTCCTCCCACCATTGTCCACTATGCAGGGGTTCGACTGATGCTGCAGAAGCATCTCAGACTGTGAACAGGTAATATAATATAATAATATAAAAATATCACAACGTTTTATCGTTACATGCATTTATTTATTTATTATTTTTCTTATTTATTTTATACAATATAGTATAATTTTTTAATAGACAGTCTGTAAACAGCCCCACAGTGCCACACAAAACAATGATATATTTACATTCCATGTTTAAACATTTAAACAAAAACCAAAGTCTTTAAGAGAGAGAATAATAGCCACAGTATCTACTAAAACAGCCTCTTCACTAAGAGGTAGAAACTCTGACAGAGAAGAAGAAAACTGTCTGTCTTCTTCCTTTCATTAAATGCATGTGTGTGGGATGCTCTAGCATCAAAGCATTTACTCGTCCGGTTCAGGTTCCAAGATGTCAGTATCCATAACCACATGTCAAATCTTTTTTCATACACCGAGGCTCATATGGAGTCTTTGAACAACAGTGGGCATGGTGTTGTAGCAGTGTGTACTCACTACGTCATAGTGTCCGTGTTGAGCAGCCAGGTGCAGGGGGATCTGACCCTCGTTAGATTGACCGTTCACTGAGGAGCCTGACTTCAGTAGCAACTTCATGGGCTCTGACTTTCCCTGCCACGCTGCATAATGCAGAGGCCGCATCCCTGGAACATGAAAAGAAAGACTTTTAATATTACTGCACTGCAAAATATACACATTAGAGTTGTGTTCAGTAAGCTTGTTTCAGGTTGTTTGGACGTGACATCCAAAGCAATACTGTACTTTTTTTATCTGTGTGCCAAAACAGGTCAAATACTTCATTTAAAGATGCCAATGTGAAGTTAAAAAAATTACACTGATGTCTTTCTGGTACCTTTCTGGTCCCTGATGTCCACTATGGCCTGAGACTCCAGCAGCAGTGATATAACCTCCACATTTCCATTGAGAGCTGCATGGTGCAGTGGTGAAAATCTGTGAATAACACATAAAAATGACATAAACAGGACGTCAGAATTTAATTAAGAACGCCAATTCCTTTACTGAATTTGAATTGAGGTAACAAACAGGATGCAGAACTGTAATTTGAATGCAATTCAAAAATTAAAATTCCATTTTAATTCCATTGGAATGGAATGAATAAAAAAAATCATCAAACTGTTGTAAATGGAGCTTTTAGTCTTATTTTTCAGTATGAATCAGTATAAGGTTATCAAACAACAAGTGTGTGTGTGTGTCTACCTGGTATTCCCTACATTATGAGGACCAAATGTTCCCACAAGTATAGTAATACCAGTAAATTTTGAACTTTTTTGTTTTCCATGAGGAAACAAGCTTATAAATCACATATAATGAAGTGTTTTGAAAATCTAAAATAGCAGGTTTCTGTGAGGGGTAGATTTAGGAGTAGGGTTAGGGTAAGGGGATAGAAAATACAGTTATACAGTATAAAAACTGTTACGTCTATGGAATGTCACCACAAAAAATGGAAACCAGTATATGTGTGTGTGTGTATTAACTGTAATATACAATATATACATATAAAAAAATACAGATAGGCGTGCACACACACACACGTGTATATATATATATATATATATATACATACAGTATATGACAAAAAATGACAATGGGATCATTAGAAATAACTAATAATTGTTTATTGATTTATAGTTGGCCCTGTTAATACAAAGACCAACAGCACTTAACAGATGTTAATGTCTCTTGCTCTCCTGATTTCTCCTGTGCCTCCCTTCAGCTAGACCACATCAACTGCCTTTACAAAGGACTATACTAGCGGACAACACTGTCAACCACATACACTCATTAACTTTCACAGAACTGAACATCTGAGGTTAATACGAGGAGCCTGTGTTTGTACTGCAACCTCATTCATCAGTGTGCATGTGTCACTGTGTGTATGTTTGCTCAGCTGTTTTTGATAATAGCAAAATCTGCAAGTGTAAGAACACGTGATTATATATGAGGCAGCAGATTGTGTGTGTCTGTTTGTATATACAAGATTGAATCATTCCATCTTGAATGCGGCACCAAAAACAGCTGTGACTTTCCAAACACAAACTCATACAGCTACAGTACATTCCAGTCTTCAACAGATAAAAACATTTCAGACTATTTAGAATATGCAGAAAATCACTGCCACTAAAGAACTTTTATTTATTTGAGTTTTTAATAAATCTATTGAAAATTTTTGTTCAGGGTAGTGGACAAATACTTATATAATGAATATCCTTTATGTTCTTTAGTATTTTCCCACAATGCATTATGATTTAGCATGTCCGGAGTGCAGTAGGGTCCTGTGCTCTTAACCCAGTAGTGCAGACGGTTCTTCAAAGTGCCAGAGACAAAAAGCCCTCACTGGATTTTCTGCCACAACTCGCTCTCTGTGATTGGTGCATAAAATATGCAGTAACCATGGCTACAGTTGTGAGGCTCTGGTTGCCAGCGCAACTATGAACGTAAACCCTTGGAGTGTGGCGGCTCAGAGCAGAATACTAGACTTACAGGAAGCCTGTCTGACCCATCTCTCCCTCTCTCACTGGCACTAGCATGCAGGTTTGCACTGTGCTGCTGCAGCAGAGCATGCTGGGGGATGGGCCAGAAAACCCCACTCTCCACACCAAACGTCCCCCTTTTCCCAGGCTCCACATCACAAGCCATACAATATTCATTGTTCTCTTCACTTTGTGGCACTTTCTCTATTAGTAGGCCAGATACAGTAAGCCTCGTCTCTTCATATATGCGTGTATGTCTTTCTCTCCCGTGTGTCACTACAGGGCAAGACAGAGGTGAACACATATAAACACATGCCGCCTGACCTACTTTTCTTAATGAGGGTACTACTAAAGCCCAAGGCGTTCCCTCCAAAGGAAGCACCATCAGCACTCCTCCATTCACTAAGCAGCATGTCTGATGAGATATTGTTTACCACCATCGTCATCATTATCACCATAATGAAAGAGTGTAAATACATTTAAAAAAAATTATTAAAAGTAAACTGGGACATAAAAAGGACTAAAAGTGCTTCAGCTTTGCCATCACCGGAATTAATTACATTTTAAAATATATTAGAACAGTAATCAGCTATTTTGAATTGCAATAATATTTAAAAATATATATTATTTTACTGTTTTTATTAAATTTTATTTTAAGTGACATAAGTAACTTTAAAACATATTACCAACTAAGGTTGCATAAAGGTGGAAAATTTCCAGTAAATTTCGGAAACATTCCAGAAATTTAGGAAACTTTCCAGGATTTTTTTTGGAATATTCCAGGGATTTTTGGAAAGTTTCCGGAAATTTTCCGGACATTTATCACCCTTTTGCAACCCTATTACCAACCACAAACTTTTAAACAATAGTGTATATACATAATAACAAATGAAATATTTGAAATATGTGAAATAATTGTATTAAAAAAATTATACAGTTAGATGTATGTGATAGATAGATAGATAGATAGATAGATAATGCAATCTAATATTAGAAGAACTGTTGAGCCCTCAAGTCATAAGGTAGCAATTATAACTACTTTTGATTATTCATAACTATCAGTGGACTCACAGCTATATAAAATCACTAAACTTGTCTGCACCCTCTTTGAAATGTCACAGTTCTAGCAAGAATTGGCAGCTCTGTTACATAAACAAAAACTACCTCTTAATGTGTTACAGCAGAGCCATGAAACTACATGCTCTGGAGACTGTATATTGACCTCCACATTTCACTGTTAATTTCACTGCTACTCATCCATCAGTGATCTCGCACACTTGGTTTCTGGCAGACACATCAGTTGGATCATGGGTAATAATCCAGGCACATCTAACGCTCTACTGGCTCCTCTGCCTCTTAAACATTTATTTCCAACAAAATGCCATTAAACAAGACAATCCTCTGTGTCAGTGCTGGCAATATCCGTCTCGGAAATATCTCAGCTCTAATGTATCTCAGTTGTTCTTTCTCCATGACTTTTTTTATGAAGGCAAGTTTCATATCGTTTTATTAAAGGGGGAGGCAGCAAAATGACAGGCTCTTCCTTGCTCATAAATCAAATTCCCACCATTGCTCCTCGAGTGCTCCCATTTAAGGGAATGATCTCAGATTAGAAAGAACATTAAGCCTCTTATGAGAACACTTTAGATTTATTATCACAAGATGTCTGTTATCTCTAATAGAGAGCAGGGGCGCTATACATATGGATGTCATAATGTGCGTATGACATACCTACAAAATGTTCTTTTCTCAATTTGGATTGGCCAAGGTAGTGGGAAAACTGCTGCCGCTGTGTGTTGCTTGGCGACATGGCAAGAAAAATATCTAAACTATCTGGCCAAATTGAGTATGGATTCACCAATATGGAATTTTGACTAATACTGATTATTAATTATTGCAAAGACAAAACCTGACTTGTTGACAAGTTATGTGAGGTCCCATGAACTTCTCACTATTCACTACCGCTGAAAAGTTTGGGGTGGGTACGTTTTATTTTAATATTTTTTAAGGTGAGCAAGTCTTCTTTATGATCACCTAGGCTGCATTTATTTGATTAAATATATAGTAAAAACTGTAATATTGTAAAATATTACAATATTATTATTTTGTTAATAGTTATTTTCTATTGTTATACATATTTAAAATGTAATTTACTCCGGTGATGGTAAAGCTGAATTTTCAGCATCATTACTCCAGTCTTCGTTGTATCATGATTCTTCAGAAATCATTCTAATATGCTGATTTGCTGCTGAAGAAACATTTCTTATTATTATCAATGTTGAAAGCAGTTGTGCTGCTTAATAATTTTGTGGAAACATTGATACATTTTTAAAAATTTTTTGACTAATAGAAAGTAAAAAAAAAAAAAAAACAGCTTTATTGTCCAAAACCAATATGACCGCAGATACCTAAAATTTTGTCAAATTATATACCAGAACTTTTGCTCATATGAAAAATCTTTAAACTAATGCAATCTTAAAAAAGTGACTTTTATGGTTTCAAAGCAAGTCACGGTATGGCTTTCACTTAAAAAAATTTTTTTTGTTATATTGATTGGCAGCCATAACACGAACCGTTAGTATATTAAAAGTCTAAAGATGACGAATTGCATGGAAGAAACTGCAGAGTTGCAGTTCAAGAAATGAAAAGTCATAATTAGCTGATTGGGTTTAGACAGAAGAATTAAGGCTTTATTAATGCTCACTGAGCGTGGTAATGAATTCAATAAAAGAACAGCATCATTAATCCTGCCACTGAGTCGCAGCTGCCCAAACTGTGTGTTTTGAAGACATCAGCAGGTTTATAGATTAGATTGTTTTTGATCCTCAGCATTACACACATTGTTCATTAAAAAAAAATGAGCATCATCTGCTGAGCTAAAGCTGCATGTTTAATTAGAGAACTGCTGCTCATTTCATGTGGTAGTGACATAATAATGACATGACAATGAACCTGTTTTTGTTTTCTTTCAAGTGAACAAACCATTCTCATTAATTTTCGTACACTGACAATTATTTATTATTCACTTAAGTCTATCACTTTTGAAGCCAGTGAGACCTTGGTGGCTAGAAAACATTATGATAAAACATTATAAAACTGTCTTTTTATATCTTGATAAAATGTCACGCTCAACAGTTCACACAATGGAGGAAAAATGACAGATCTGCTTTGTTGTCACCTAAATAAAATAAAAAAGCATGATAAATCTTTTATTAGTCATGAATGACTTAGTATTTTTTTAACAAATCAAATCGGCACATAAAAAAAAGCACATAAAAATGATAATTTTTCACCCTCTGCTAGCGTGAATATTAAATCTAAGTAAATAGACACTGAACAAATCAATGAACTAATCTAAACTAATCATTTTAGACTCAAAGCACTCGAATCCTGGGATGAATCAAAATCCCCACCACCAAAATTGGAAACACTCTAAATGTACAAATGTACTTTCTGTAGATGAAAGCTAACATGTAGGGGCTGTTTCAGGATTTCAGTCTTGGAGGGCTCAGCTTCTTACCTGAAAATGAACTATTGTGGCTGAAAGAATTATTTATTGCTTCAAGAGCAAGGTTAGATTTTTTAGGGGGCTGGCAGCTATATTAATCTTAGATTTTTATGTGGGCTGAAATGAAAGACGGAGGATGAAGCCCCCACAAACAGGGTCTATCAACCCTATGTTTATCAGGTCATGGGAGACCGATTTTGAATCCACCTGGAAGTAATGGACAGACAGGTCTGGTACGATCCACAGTCAATTTGAAAGCTGTTATGGTATGTGATATTGACAATCACACAGAGATGTATGTGATAACATGGTGAGATTATAGCCTGGTGAACACAGCCTCACAGCAGATGGCAGTCATGTTGCAATTTTCCTCAAGCTCATTTTAAATAGAGCTTATCTCAGAATCCACAAAAAAGCCTCCTATTTTGCTGTGGCTCTGCTGGGGCTCAACTCTGACCGCAATGAGAGTGTGTGTTTGTGCGGCTGTCAGTACCAGTGACCTTCACACTGAGTGCCTGGGGCACTGAGACACACTGCCTTCACAAACCTGTCTAAAACATTGTCACAACAAGCCTTTAAATCAGTGCTTAGTGTGCGCCCCATTTAAAGCATCTTTGTTTTTATTGTTCCCGCAGATGCCCACCGGAACATTCTACGACAGAATCCTCCTAGCAGCATCAAGCACCTGACATTCCTCAGGCTGTGCTCCTGCTGCTTCCTGTGCTCCTGATGCGTCTCAAAATGCTCTGACAAACAGATCTGACATAAATATAGATTTAAAAATAATAATAATAATTTAATACTTTTAATAAAATATTTGTAATTTAACTTTTTATTAGAGATGTTTGTGAAACATTACTATTCTTCTATTCACACTATTCTTAAAACCTCTTCTTGCAGCCAAAACGTCACGGCACCATGCTATGGGCATAAATAATAATACCTCAAATCATGCAGCTTATTGAGGAGAGATGTGTTTTTTCTTTTTAAATGTAAGGATTTTTTTTAAGAGATCAGCCTTATAACTTTTGTTTCCTAGCAATGCCAGAGTGGTGGAACAAGTATGCTAAACACTAAGATATGGTTAACACTATGTTCTAACCAGATGTGACACGACTCTGTGACATGCGATAAAAGGTATCTTTTCCATGTTAATCAGAGTTTTTGTCCTAACCAGCCGCGACATACACGCGACGAGTGACATTGGATTCCATTTCAGAAACAGTTTCTATTTCTGCAACATTGCGGCTGGAACAACATACATACTATTGTAGCGAATCAGCTCATGGGGAAATATGAATAATTAATCATAACTAGTTATAATTAATTATAAATATTTAGATCCGCTGTAGATATTTAGCTGACCTTATGTGCTTTATTCAATGTTGACTGAATAAATGAAAGCAAACAATGAATGTTAAACTCAATGAGAACCAACAAGCTTATTCCATAACAAAGATAATCAGTATTATGTTAAAAAAAAATTAATATTTATGAATTAAATTATAATCTTATTCATTTCGTTTTGTGCAGTGAGTTTTCAGAGTGTCCCCTCACACATACTTCTGATTGGATGTGATATTTGATTGATTTTGCCGCATCGCGTAGCCGTGTTGCGTCTGGTGTGAACAGACAAATTGCATGTCACTGGAATCTTATCACTAGGACACAGTGTAAGACTAACTTTGCTTTTATAATTTAACTTTAAGACTGATCCATGTGCAGCTCTTCAGTGGGCCTCTCAATCACACAGGGTGTGAGATATTAAAGTGATTGCAGGGGATGGTGATGTAGATGTCTGACTGTCATTTCAAGGCTAGAAGGACCACCACGCATCCAACTGGCAGTTTAAGCCCAGAAAAGAGGGATCCATTCCACTCCATTTTCTCACTGCTGCTGCTCTATTCTCCACTCAGCAGACAACATAATTTCATCTCTGCTTAGAAAGCAATAGTCTATGGAGAAGGAATTAATGTGCGAGTAATTTATCTTGCCGATACAAATGTGAGCTCGGCCTGAGGAAGGCTGTGCATGTAAATACACTACATGGCATTTGTGAGGATTCAGGCTGCGTGGAGGTATTCATCGGTTTAGAGTTACAGCTTTAATTTCCTTAAAACCCAGAGTCGTGATGATGAATGCCACCGTTGTTCAGTGACAGTGATCAATAGAAGAGATTTTTTAATTATTCTGTCGGTTCCACAGCTTGACAGACTACAGCAAAATAAAACAGCCTTTGATCTATGGATCGCTGAGCTCAAAGCAGGACAGGCCCCTGTTGTATTTTTGGGTCATTTGAAATATGATTAGTGGGTGTGTTGCTGTGATTAGTTTAAGGATCGTTTTGTTAGATGATGTTTGTGTATTTGTGCCTGACTGCATATGTGTGAGAGTGTGTCAGCGCGTGTTTGCCTATCCGTCTGCGCATGTGAGAATCAGTGAGTGTTAATGGCAGTCTGCCCATCCACCGTGTACACGAGTGTGCTTTTGTGTGTGAGGTGCAATTTCTGTGAAATTCTGTCTTCGCCGCAACGCCTTTGCTGGCTGGAGAATAGGCTGTGCTCATCACACTGACTGCAGAAAAAAGGGGGGGGGGGGGACACCTATTGGCCCCTAAAAATTGTACTTTTAGGAGCCAAATGTTTTTTAAGCTGACACAATCTAAAAAATGCTGGGTTGTTTCAACCCAACTTCGGGTCAAATCTGGACTAATCCAGCTGTTGGGTTAAATTTTTTAATTACATTTTTAACCCAAAAGTTGGGTTAGTCCGTATTGGTCCATCAAAGTTGGGTTGAAACAACCCAGTATTTTTTAGAGTGCAGTATCGCTAGATATTAGGGGTGTGCAATATTAATTGTCTATGATAATATCTTACTTGTCATTTTAATGATGTGCAAGTATGTCACTTAGGGATGTAACAATTCACTCAACTCACAATGTGATGCGATTCACGATAATGATTTCACGATACGATTTTCTCACAAATTTTTTTTTTTAACAAAATGAGATTCAAGACAAATTATAAATGAAAAGGTGTCCTTTTATTATTGTTTGGACAAAATGCTGGACATTTCTTTGTGGAATTGAAATGTCAAATAACACTAAACTGATTTTTTTTATTTTTTTATCAAATAATTAAATAACACAAATAAAATAAATCTCTTCATATAAATAAACTAAGGCTTTCCCTGTGCTCTTTCCATTTAAAATTAGAGGCAACAACTGTATTTTAATCACGATCCAAACAAAGATGCTGCATACATGCAGTTTTTTATCTAAATTAGATTTAGTTTTGTAAATCTATAGTACATAAAACATATCTGCACGAAACAAAAACAGCAGACGGGCTGAATGAGAGCGCAAATTCACTCTCTGACAGCAGGTGGCGCTTATGGAACAGCAGCTATACAGCGTTTCCTTGGTTACCGCTGTAAACAAATCAGTGCTGCGCTTATAAACACTGCTTGAATCGCTATTTTTTTATTCCATTGTTTTTACTGAGCTGCATCAACAGAAATAACTGACCATGCAGCACTAGAAACATTGGTGCTTCAACCCAGGTGTCTTTCTGCTCTGTGCGTTATATCTCAACTCAGAGTCTTCTTTTCAGCTGTGCTGTACTCAAGAAAAATTACAGTAGAGAGCATGATTAACAACCAATATGTACACCATTATAACATCCGAGGGAAAAAAATCTACAGGATATGTGGAACAAAACAGCCCAACAAATGGCTGATTTAACTCTCGATGACGCTGGCACAAATAACACAATGCTCTCTGCCTCTGAAACACTGGACAGAACTGAACAAACATCAAGGGCGGCTGAAAGAGTTATTGAATGTGGCAGGACCAATTTGGATGAGAGAAAATGTCAAACTCTCATAATCTAGCTAGACTTTATCAGCAATCAACATGCAATTATGCTGTGCAATGTACAGTCCCAAAGAGCATTTGGATGTTACTATGGAATGTATACTATGGAATTATGGACTCTGTGCCATCTGTGGTTTAAACATAAAATTTTTTATTTTTCAATGTTTATGGACATTTTCTGTCAAATCTCACGGAACACCTCTGAATATAAAACACAGGGTATATGGATAACTAAAATTATCATGCCAAAAAGAAGTTATATTAAAAAACAATATACATACAGTAGTAACATCTGACTACCAAAAAGGGTTTAAATACTATTGTCTTAATTTTGAGCAGTATATCTGTCCCTTTAAAATCTAATAAACTTTTAATATTTTGCTTAAAAATTGTATCTGTGATACATTTATTTACCTAAATGCCACATGGTTTAAAAAAATATTTTATTATTTTTACAAAATATTAATCACTGTATAATAATTAAGCATCGATTAGGTTTAAATTAAAGAGCAGTTATGGATCAGTACGGTTCTGTAATGTATATGAAGGTGAGTTGGATAAGAGAGGGAAAGAGACTTGGATAAAAGTTTTTCTAAACCAACAAGCACACATGAGCTCTGGCAGATCCCGAGGATATTTGGCAGTCAGACAGGAACGATCATGTTTACAAGAGACTGCCACATGGAGCCATATAAAGCCCTTATATGTCCCACTCACCCATCAGTGTCCTGGAAGTTGACGTTCACCTTCTTGGCAGAACCCAGCAACTCTAAAGAAAGAAGAGAGGGAAAGAAGGATGAGTATGATTAAAAAGCAACAATAGTACACTGTGGGAGTAAGGACATTTCACAGCATGTTCTATGATACTAGGGCTCTACATACAGTTTTTATAGCAAAAAGTAACAACATTTCCACAAATAAGTGTTTGAGGCCAGTATATTTGATTTAAGGCTTGGATTTCCCATTAGCATTGGAAAATTCTCTATTTTAGGACTGTAACTTTGAGTATGCACTAGAATACTGAGTGTGTGCTAGAGCTGCATGACCAGCAGTGAAAATTACACACTCGAAACCTAAAACTCTGCACTGCCTTCCAACTTCCAAATGAAAACCCTTGAGATGGGACTATGATCATTTTTAGTGCATAATCAATGATTGAAATGTATACTTTTACATAAACATTGCATAATCTTCATAGTTTGGGAATGCTAATTAGAAAGGAGGAACAACAGGATAATCATTCTTCTCAGCTGTGTGGGCCAGAACTATTGTTCAGTACTGACAGTTACCCATGCATCCTTGTCACATGCAAAAAAGCTTTTACGGTCATTTGAGGTTATACACCATGACCATTTTTAGTTTGCATTCATATGGAGCTGCGTGGATGGCAAACTGTCCTGTTTCCCAGCAGACACGGGGAAGAACGCTATGCCTGTCTCTAAGGGCTGTTCACTCCATCACTTTCACTAACAGCAGCACAGCCATAAAAGAGACTCTGTGGAGCACTAACTACTGGTGTCACACTTTCTTCCACCCATAAATCACTCATGCTTCACTGTTCACTCACAACACTTTTTGGCAAAAGCACTCCAATCATAACTTGCACAGAGTCAAGTATTAGGTTGAATTGCCTAAAAAGTACTTTTGTTCCAAATTACTCATCACAGCAACAATGGTTCAACCAATGGCATGCATTTGAGGCAGACTCTGTTTGATCAAACAATAATAGACAGGAGGAAACCTTTTCGGAAACAGTCATGATTTTTGCTATCACGTTTGATGACCCCTGAAGAACAGAAATTACACGCTTCAGCTTTAAGTACCTCACTGGCCTGTTTTCATGAAACAGCCAGCATAGTGCCCTTTGGCTTTGGCATGTTTGAGATTTCACCGATTTAACTGGTCTGTAGGTGATAAAACCTTTAACACCTGGTAAATGGGCTTCTATTGGGCCTATAATATGAGGGGTGGAATTTGGAAGCGGATCAGAATATGCCATATGAGGTCCGTATTACATCCGGAATGGAGCTGCTCGCAGCAATCTACATCAGTCAGCCTGAATACAGGGCTGTTTTCAGCAGCTGCTGCTCAATGTGACAGAGAACATCTGTGTGTCTTTTTCTGCTGTGTCTTTAACTCTTTGACCACTCAGGCCTGGCCTGACGTTTCCAAACAGAGCACAGTGAGAACTGATATTAAATAAAACACAAGGATGGAGTAAGTCCCTAGTAAATGGCTGCCTAGGTTTATGGGGAAACAAGTGGGTGCTTCTATTTCAAGACACAAAGGTTACAGAGGAGAATTTCTATCTATAGTGAGCTGCTGCCTTTGTGCTCTTGCTCTCCGATGGTTTGTTTATCAACATTTTTGCCTCTTAAATTAGACCTTCAGATGAAAGGTACTATATGTTAGAACTGACTCCAATAATGGCAATGTGAAAAGTGCAGATCTATGGATTCTACTTAGAATAGAGACACTATTTTCACATCCTTTATCAATTATTCAGTTGTTTACATCAATAGGATGGCCTATTATTTCGTTTTTAAATTGTGGGAAATAGTGATTTACTTTGCTTTTGAGTGAACCTTCAGAAATCATTCTAATATGCTGACTGGATGCTCAAGAAACATTTATGATTATTATCAAGGTTGAATAAGAAGCAGTTGTGCTGCTTATTTTTGTGGATATTTGCAATTATTTGAAATAAAAATTTTCTGTTACACATGTCTTTACTGTTACTTTTGATGAATTGATGTATCCTTGCTGAATATAAGTATTTAAAAATCTTACTGACCCAAACTTTTAAACAGTAATGTATCTAGAAAAAAGCCAACCTCACTAAATGACTAGTTGGTTGTCTGATGAGTTGGCCCATCATTAAGCAGCACATTTTGTGACTTTATGACACATCAAGGGGCTAGGACAATATTTTTGAGAGTAGAACCCCCATTCACAATCTATGGTACCCATCACAAGTACAGCATCCCATGATGGCAGTCCTGTCACGTATATTTACTGATACATGATAAGCAAGATTGAGACTGATGTGTCTTTGACTTTGACTCTAGCTTCGATGCACATACTAAATGTGTAAACTAAACTCTGCCTTACTTCTCTCAGAAATGTTTTGTAGAAGCGTCTTTCAGATCTTTTTATAGTGCCCAGTTAACCCGCTGGATAGTGAGGAAAAATATGGGTCAGTAAAATCTGCTCTTCAAAACTGAAAACAAATATTACATCACACTGACACGCTCAGAGCACAGACAGAACTGGGTTGCTTTGTTGTATGAAAATATTTAGAGGTACAAATATGAGCCTGGAGATGTTCGCTCTGGGGACAAGAGGAGGAGTTATGCCTCTTTGTAAAAATGTACGAGTCTGCAACAAATAGGGCTCATATTTAAAAAAAATCAGCATGTACTATTATAGTCTAATGGAGGTAAACAACAGCTGTCAAACCTGCATACATTTCCAAATGACAACAGCGCTCTCACACCTGAAATGACTTGAACTGAATGATGTTTCCAACACAAGCACACAGAAGACAGATTGACTCCCTTTTGACTGAGGAGAAATCTAACATCGCTGAGACATCTCCTCTTAGAAGACTACGACATGCTCTCCATTGTTGATTTGTAGTAAAAAATTGGGGTGTACAAAAGAGACTGATGCTCTAATGGAAAAATCAAAGAGCTGACTGCAGGACTAGAGACAGCAGCGAGGGGAGAAACAGCGAATGCTGCCCAGCCACGATTGATTCTGCATATCCGCTGTTCCCAGACAGAAGAATGTTATGAGATGTAGTGGAAAAGCTTCTCTGTGACTCATCTCTCTCTCTGTCTGCAGGCCGCCCTAAGTGGGACAAGAGTACTTGGTGATACACACACAAAAAAAAAGTTCACAGGCTTTGTCGAGACATGCAGTTGGAAAAGTTGGAGTGGCGATGGGTCACAAGCATTGAGAGGTCTGGATGCCAGATGAAGCACAGCAAGGAAATGTGTTACAACAAGAATGCATCTTATAGATCTGCAGCTGTGCTCTCTTGAATCTGCAATGGACAGTGAAAACGTCTGAAAAACATCTTTAAATGTCTTCAAGCTTCAAAGAAGTATTGTGCTTATGTTGCCAGATTCTACTTGGCCATCTCCATAGTACTGTATCATAGGAATTTATAGATTTTTTTCCAGTTGTATTTGCCCTATACAAAAAGGTGCTATTTTGAGTTGATGGTATGACATATATACCATAGTACTTTAAAATATGGGTTTTCAAACTGGTGTCCACCAGAAGGTCAATAGAAAATCTGAAAGATAGTGGGTGTTTTCAGACTCACCATGTTAACTTCAGATATTATGTAAATGTTTAACATGATATTTTTTGAACACATGCTGAATTATCTTCTGGCAGCCCTAGATTTTAACAATTACAAATATTTTAATTTATACATACAACTTTCTAAAAGAAAAAAATATAATGCCAACTTAATTCAAAATAAATATTCTCCATATAATATTTTATCATTTGCTTTGAGTTTTGTATAAAAGAAAATATATATTAACATTCAAAAGTTTGAGGTCTGTAATATTATCTAATGTTTTTAAAGTCACTAATGATTGTCAGGGTTCTGGACTGTCTGTGTGTTTTGCTCCCCGTGACCCAGTTTCTCCTCGTGTTAATTTGATCCTCGTTCCGCGCTCCTCCTAGCACAGATCGTGACAATGATCACCCAAGCTTCATTTATTTGATAAAACATCAAGTAAAACAGTACTATTGTGAAATATAATTACAAATTAAAACAACTGTTTCCTATTTAAATATATTTTAAAATGTAATTTATTCATGTGATAGCAAAGCTCAAGAAACATTTCTTTTTATTATCAATGTTGAGTTGCTATGAAACTATGAAATTCCGGTAACACTTTATTTTAAGCACCAATTCTCACTATTAACTAGTGCTTATTACTAGCATATTGGCTGTTTATTAGTACTTATTAGGGACCTATTAATGTGTTATTTTGTATGATCATGTTCTAGATCCCTTAACCGAACACAATTTAATTTTAAACTGTACCAAAAGGATTAACTAAGGCTTAAATTTGACAGACCATGTTTACAAACATAAGAACAGTAGACACGACCCATACACTGTGACAGAGTGTGTGTACGGGTAGCCATGGGCATGAAGAAACATTGTGACACATCTGGAATAACTTTAGCAGTCACCCACAACAAAGTGACTCACAGCTGGGCCTCATTAATAAATGTTGTGTATATACAAAAAACGGATTTCAAAGACTTTACAATCCAAAGACATTTTTATTCTCAATTCAGGATTTATAATAATGCTAGCTAGACTGAACTGCATGAAAAATTATTTGTGTTACAATAAATGAAATTGTGAGGCAATATTTTATAATATTTTGGGCAGTTTTATGGTATAGCCTAAAAAACGCAATGAAGAAATTTGATTTTTTTATACAAGGTATTATATCATGATGGCATTTTCCATATGATACCATTCCCAAACTCAATATATATTCCTGGAGAAAACCTGTTAATATGAATGACATTATGATATTATGCAATATAAACAGAGATTTAACTACTGTGACTCATAACATGTCTTTATCTTAAAATTAAATAAACCCACATCGCATAAAGTAACAAGAACATGGTCTTCTTTTCAAGGAAAGACTAATGGTCATATATGCAGTGACATTCTTTATTCTTTCAAGCAGACATTTATTTATATAAAATAATTTTATATGA